CTGAGGAGTGGCACTTTATGGCCAAAAGCTGTTCTAACATCTCTACCAGCTATACAGTTGGTCCAAAGAAAGAGATCACCAAAAAAAATTTGCTCTTGTGTATTTCCTGAACCAGGACAGCTATAATAACACCCCAACCTTAATACTCAAAAAATCAAAGCACAGACTTTATTTTTTGAAACAGAGGGTATGTGTAGATGTTACATTTAGATCAACTTCACCAGAATTAGGTTGATCTAAGTGCCAATCAGTGCAGACATTCAGAGAGGTTAAATTGGGTATAAGCTGGCAGGCCCAATCTAAATTAGTTCATATGAGCATGGTACCCTGGGGTTGGGAAAACCCAGGCACTCACCCCAGACCCAGGGCTGTGTTCTTCCTATCCCCTCAACCATGACTAGTCAGTATTTACCTCCCCCACATACAAACCCACTAGCACATCCCCTGGACCTGCCCATCCGTCTCCCTGCCCCAAGTTATTTGCACAGGATTCCTAACATGGCTCCTGACATGTGTACAAGGTGCTTCTGATCTACAATCACGTGGTTTAATGTAAGCTGCATGATCACATAGGGAGTGGCAAACATCTGCACATACCCAGAGTGACTGGCTGAGATATTCTGTGCAACATAAATTCCATCCCATTGACATTAATAGAAGTTTTAACTTACCTTTCATCATTTTCAGTAAAGCTGTAGTAAAAAAAAGAAACCTTGACTCCTCTGAAAATTACAACCTGTGTCACTTATCTACAGATCACTTATTTACCTATCAATACAGAAATCTGCATTTACCTGTTCAGCAAATGACACTGATTGAGATTTTCAAAATAATCCAGTGGATTTTAAATATCTAGGACTCAGGAAAGAAGTAGGACAATATTTATTTTATTGTTCCTTAGTATGCCTTCACACTGGTATCAAAAAACCAAACCAAACCAACTAAAACATGGTAAAAAATATTATAAAAGTTGCAAAATCAGATATTCAATGGAATGCCAAAATTAAAGTAGCTCATGGTCCATGTAAAACAGCATACAATTTAGGTTGTATAAAATTATATTACCATAAAATACAAAGCCAAAGGAAATATTTCTATTGCTTTTTCTGTTGTCTTTAAAGTAAACAGTTAATTTAAACAATATCTTCAGGGCTTACAGCTTTAATTTTACACTATTAAATCTAAATAAATAAATAAAACCTTAAGTTGAAAATTACTAGAAAACTGACCAGCATAAGAAAAGAAACTAATTAAAACAAAAAGAAAATGGAATAAAAAGTGAATGTGTGCTGGATTTTGAAAAGATTCAGCTTTAATTATTAAGGTTAATTGCAAGTATGCATAGCGATAGGAAAACGAAGTCAATTGGTCTAAATACTTGTATGACCCTGCAACCAAATACTAAGAAATGTGACAGCAGTTGTGAGGTGTAAATAATTGGAAATGAAAAGGGAATGCAGGTTTGTGAAAATGAAGCTGTAAGAGTGCTACTAGTTGAACCAGCCTTATCTAAAAGATTTATAACCCATCTGAAAGACAACGTTTAAAATCAGTATTCCTTATTCCAAGTGAAGGTCAACTCTAAATTATAATCTTTCATAAGGATAGGGGGAACAATCTGTAATTTTTCTCATAAAAAATCACTTATTCCTCAGTTCCTATATGCCTTCAGAGAAGAGCTAACGTCATGAGACCACAGCTTTACAGAAAATGAACTTCTCTACAAATAGGGCACATATTCCATTTATGCTAGCACAATAGGAATCCAATGTTAACTTCACAGTCTGAGTCTCTTTTAATTCCCCTGATGTATTCTCTGTCCAGCATTCTGAGCTGAGGAGTCACCTTCATTTTGCTGTGTATGTGTACATTAAATTCATGAGAAAAAAAAGGCTTCTTCCTTGATTGACTGTATGTTTCTATATAATAAGTATGCATAGAGACCCAACTGTTTGTTAAGGAAGTTTATCACCTCACCTGTCATGTTGCAGTACACAAGAAACGGTCCCAAGGGGCCACTTCCATCTGAATCGATATAGTAAAAGCCTGAAGTGTTCCCTCTGTGCTTATAGGCTTCACATGATTGCTCATAGATGGCTGTAAAAGAACATCTTCCATCACAAATGTAAAGGCATCATTTTATATTCTATTTGTGGCAAGGAAAAAATATGTTGGTGGGGGATCACCTATATGATGGTTTATTCAAAACTGAGGAAAATAAGGGAAAAATCACACAATAAAATAAGCACTATTATTTGGCAAACACCATTTATCTTTATTTAAAGTGAAAATTTCCATAGGTATTTCTGAGGTTATCTTTTTGCTTCCTCAGCAAGGTATTGCAGGAATAGAAGAAAGAAAGTAGATGAATGGATATGATAACAAATGTGTAATTCCAAAATGAATAACATTTTGAGTAATATTTGGAAAATACCTTTATTCAAATTATAAATGATTTAGGAAATAAACCTTAACTATAACCATTAGTCTTTAAAGTGACATAGTGCCCTACCCTCTGCTTGACTCCAGACTAACACAGCTAACCAGCTCTATGTTCAACTTTCAAGATAGATAACCAACTGTATAACGTGAAAAACTTTGGGTCCAATTTAATGACAATAAAAGCCAATGGAAACCCTACCAAGTAAAGAATGTGGAGTTTGGAGAATACTATTTATTAGGTCTGTGTGAAGCTTCAGTAGCCAATTCAATTCAGAGGAGATTCTGTCCAATTCAAGGACTGAATCTCCAAATCCAAATCAAATCAGGAAACCACTTAAAAGCTCTGAATTGATTTGAAGCATCTGAATCAATTTGGAAGAGGATTTGGAAATGATTTGGTGATTAGGCCATAGACTAAACAGGGAGCTGATGCAGTCGCCTCCAGCTGGTAAGTCTGTTGGGGTTGGGGGAGTGGGAAGGGAAGGGGCATGGGGGAGGGAGGGATTGCGGCTGGGACTGGCTTGCTCCAGGCAGAAGGGGGCAAGTGACAGCAGGGCATACCCGCCACTCCCAGCACTGCCGCACCCTCCCCCCTGCACCCTCTTGTGCCAGCTGGTAAGTGGCGACAGCACCTGCCCCACCGTGGTGGCTGGCAAGCAGTGGCAGCACTCACTGCCCTGCATGGACTGGCAAGAGGCTGCAGTGCCCACCTCACCACAATTTTCCACACCAGCCAGCAAGCGCTGGCAGCGCCAGCCCCACTGCCCCAGGTGGCAAGCATTGCCAGTGCCTGTCTTCCCATGCCGGCTGGCAAGCAGCCACAGTGCCCATCTCTCCATGCCAGCTGGCAAGCATCCACTCTCCTGTGCTGGCTGGCAAGTGGCAGCAGGGCAGAGTCTCCGCTCCAAGCTCTGATGCAGGCACAGCAGTGCTGGGAGGAGGGGCTCTGCCCTGCTACCACTTGCCTAGCCCGTGCAGGTGGGGGCCTGATGCAGGCATGGCTCACTCTGGGCAGAAGGGGGCAAATGGCAGCAGGGCAGAGCACCCACTCGAGTGCTGCCATGCCCACATCCCTCCCCTTCTGCCCCACTCCTTGAGTAACATGCCCCCCAACCCTGGCTGGGCAGCTTGTCTCAGCCCCAATCCCCAGCCCCAGCCCCAATCCCTCCCTCCCCCAACCCCAATGGACTTATCAGCTGGAGGTAGCTGCGTCAGCTGCCTGTTTAGTCTATGGCCAAATCTCCGATGAGGCGCCAAATCTTTCAGATCTGATTCGGCTGAATCAAATCAGGACAGTGATTTGAATGTCTGATTCGAATCACTGTCCTCTGAATTG